CATTATGTTGAAAAAATTATTAAAAGGCTTCTCAAATACAATGGAAAAGGTTACTCTAGCAGGACATTGATTATTTTAGTTTGAAATGATAAATACGCATCTAGTAGAGGACAATGAAGGCTTTATACTTGACTAACCCATGCCCTATTTATACTATATTTTGTCATGATGTATTTCCGTACTGTGTACAATAAATACAAATGACTCAAATTCATCAAGAAGGGATTAATTGGCATGTAATAGGCATTCTGGCTACTATACTGGCAACCTGCCAAAATGAAATAAGAAAGAAGCTTGTGGAGAAGGGGATGTAAAAATACATGTGAGTGCAAAAAGCCAGCAAGTATGTGAAAGCTAAGTCCAACTGTGACTTGGCTTATATCAAAGAACAGTAGTGACATTATGAGATTTCCAACATCAAATGATTCTATGGGTCATTCATATATTTAATTTTATTTAGGCTTAAACTGAATTGCTTGAGCAGACAGGTGGAGATTTGATATGGCTGGTTGGAAACTGTAGGAAGCCAGATGAGCAGAAACCACAACCATGCTGGCATGCTGATCACATCTCTTCAAGTTGAAAGGCCTAACTAACACTGCAAATCCTTGGCTCTCTGATTAGATACTTTGCTTAGTTGGGGTCTAAGTCAGGAAAACTCATTACTCTTTTCTTCTTTTTCCTTTTTTTATTTCCCTATTTCTTATGACTATATTCCCCATTCATTTCTTGTACTGCTGTAGATTTTCAACAATGATCACATTATTGGTCAAACCCAGACTCTCTTTCCCATCCCCCATAAAAAAAAAAAAAAAAAAAAAAAAAAAGAACAGAAAGGCTGTACAGTTTCTTAAAAATCTGCTGTTGCACTTATGAACTTTAGCTGTCAGGCACTTAGATGCAATGTTTTTCAGTAGGGAATACAAATCTGTCCATTTCAGTGCTATTCGGCTTGCCCTTAATTCTCTTCCTTCGTTCTGGGTAAATAAAAAGATTAATTCCCA